ACACCGTTCAGATCAGAACACAGTAGTACAAGCACTGCTATTTGGTGGTAGAAATAGATAAAACGAAAATTAAAGAAGAAAAAAATAAGAGGATGGGATACCTACCCTGACGAATTCCAAGGCAGAAAAAGAGTCTTACGAGGGCGGCACTGAAAATTTCGGGAATCAAGGAAGTGACACAACATTACTATTTAAAAATGTATTTATTGCTTTTCGAAGTATTCTCCGCGAAATTTGACACATTTTTCCATACGATGGAACCAATCATTGAAGCAACCATTCCATTCGGAAGTTGGGGTCTCCAAAATGGCCGTTTTGTAGGCGTCCACAGCTTCAGGTGATGAAAATCTCTGTCCACGCAATTTATTCTTTATTTTAGGGAAAGTATAGAAATCACTAGGGCTTAGGTCGGGGCTTTACGGCGGAAGGTCTAATAATTCTATGTTTTCTTGCTCTAAAAACTCTTGTTCTGTGTGCGGTGTGAGAACTCGCATTGTCGTATTGGAGGATAATGTGGCGGTTGCAGTTCTCTTTACGGAGTTCAGAAACGACCTGTGGCAAACAAATGCTAGCATACCATTCTGCATTAACCGTTCTTTGTCCCTCAAGACAAGAATAGTCGTAACATGGCCGGTTTTGGAGACAAACGTGGCCACCATTTTTTTTGCAACACTCCGTGAACGAACAATTTTTGTTGGCTTTAACTCATTTTCGAACACCCAAACTCGTGACTGGTTTTTTGTTTCGGGTTCGTACACGTATATCCAGGATTCGTCACCTGATACAATGTTGTATACAGCATTTGAGGATCCTGCGTGGAATCTTTCGAGAGGTCTGATGCACCAAGTAACGCGAGCCGCTTTTTGCTCTTCACAGAGCGAATGCGGTATCCATCGGTCAAACAACTTTTTTACACCTAATTGTTCATGCAAGATTATTTGTATTTGACTCATACCAATGTCTTAAAGTTGCCTGAATTTCGCGGTATGTCACATGTCGATCTTCCTCAATCAGCTTACGCACAGCATCAACGTTTTCTTGGGTGACTGCAGTTTTTGGACGACCTTGACGGGGATCATCACTGAGCTTGACACGTCCACGTTGAAATTCAGCAAACCAGCGATACATTGTGGTTTTGGATGGGGCTTCATCACCAAATGCAGAAATCATCCGGTCAACACACTGTTTTTGTGTTAAACCACTTCGAAAGTCATAATAAATCATCGCTCTTGAATTTTCTTGAGTCAATTCCATTTTCTCAACGACTAAGCAAGTTTGACAAAACCTTGTGACAACAAAGAGAATATAACCACTTGTGACAAGACCGAGAATCTTTTTTTTAAATAAATAAATGGTATTCGATTTTTAAAACCAAGGGGTTTTCAATTTAAAAGATTTTAATATGAAAGGAACAGTGGAAATATTCCATTCCCGATACTTTTATTGCATCCCTCGTACTATCTAGGACGATTTCGGCTACGGTGACAGCTTCTGTACATTTTATACGTGGTAGAGCCATGCTGCAGCTATATTAGTAGTATAGTTGTAGCACGAATGGGTCGGCTCGACCGGGGAAGGACCACGCTCTCACAGAATACCAGCGTGAAATAGCAGCTTAACGCTGCTGTGTTTCGTATGGTGAGTGTAGAAAACTGGAAACCCTTTTTACTGGAAACGAGGCATTACACCTTAGTCCTCATGGGTGAAGACGCATTTGTATTTTGATTCTTTATTGAGGATAGATGTAGATGTCTATGGGTCACAGCAACCACTTACCATCAGGTGGACTGTGTGCTCGTTTGTAACCCGTATCCTATAAAAAAAAATAGGGAAGTTCTGAAATGCGCAGGAGAGTACATAATATTATGTGTACCAAAAGACACAACGGCACCAATACAAAAAAAAAACAATAAATATTTGTCATGTGGTGGCGTAGTGAGTCCATCACGCCGTTCTCGTGGGTGACGTAAGAGGTATGAGAAAAGACAAAAAGCCAGTTTTTATCATAATTATTATATTAGACACCGGTTCAGTGCGGGTGACACGCCAGGCGTGCCGTCGTTTACTTTTGTGTGTGGCGTATGACAAGCGAGTCGTGTCTTTTTTTAAATCGTTATAACTCGCTCAAATTGCTTTTTTGGAAAATTTATCCAGATCAAAATATTCATTATTTTGCGAGTAGTTCATGCATGCATTCATTTATGGATATTTTGAAAATTTGAAATTTTTAGGGTTTGACAACCTTTTTTAACGTGTACATGGTACTATTTTTACTTTCTGGGTTTTAAATCATGTTATGGAAAAATTGTCTAACAAGTAACAAATAATAGCACTCATTGCGATCGCTCACAAACTCAAGTTGTAAATAAATTTCTGGAAAACAAGTCTCCTGTTAAAAAAAACAATGCGTTTGTCTTATTGTTTAATTTTGCTTAAAATGGTTGAACTGCCGTCTTATTACCATCATATGGCCGAATAGACCTACGAAGTATCATGTACTCTTGTGAATAAGGTTTATTTTTGCTTGAAACAGTTCGAAACCGTTCATGCATAAAAAAAGTTCCCTAATAAATAGTCTTTTGTCAATCCGCAACCGTATAGCGCCGGCGTTTTTTTCCTTTTGAAAACACTTTTTTTGCTATTCTTACTAATTAGACGTTTTCAGATCCACTTTACTTTTATATTTGTATAACATTAAATAATATTTAACATTTTTAAATATCAATGAATGATATTCCTTTTTTTTTTCAAATTAAGGTTCTTCATTGTTTGATATTTACAAATGTTATTATTAGGTGAAAATTTAATTTAATAAAAACCAAGGTTTCCAGGGTGATTTAGCTGTACCTACTTATATAAATATTTTTTTTATAACAACAACAAATAGTACAAAAGGTTTCTAATCTCTACATAAAAAAAGTCACTTTCCCTCAATTTCAAAGAAAACGCGTAAAAAAACACGTAGTTACCCACTAAAAACAAGTATCCTTCCATTTGTAACTTATGTTTGATGTCAAATAAACTTAATTAGGTCTATACAAGTAAAAAAGCATAAAAAAGAATATTACTTTTAAACATGGCACTTGACACGCCCGGCGTGTCATGAAATATTTGTTCGCCGCCACAGCTAAAAGTTGTCGAAAATTGGTGCCGCAACGAATCGGTTAAAACATCAGGAACGTGAGAAGCAGCAGAAATATTTAGAACTTACATAAGATTCTATAATAGACATTATTATTACTAATATTTAATTTTTATTTGGGTCTAGTTTGTAAGGGAAATAACCGCACGCCGCCCACTACCGCGTTTTTTTTTAAAGCCGAGTACTCCGCCCAATCTAGGCCGAGTACCCGGTGGCCGAATACTCGGCGAATCACTACTCGTTCAATGTGTAATAGGGACTCGCGAACCCGTCACTATGGTACCGTATCTTTGTTTTGATTCGATGTTACCTTCATAAATGCAATTCAAGATGGGGGCTAGGCGAGAAAAACTAAGATATTTTCGTCACGACCCTTTCTATAGTGCGAGAGAGATGGAATAGTATCCTTCTCTATCGCACTTTTTCTTATCTTGCCATGAAAGAAATATTATTTTAAATGAGCGTAATTTTAATAGACACTAGTAATTCATCATCATCATCATCATTACAGCCCTTCACAAGTCGACTGCTGAACATAGGACTCCCCCAAAGAATGCCACAAAGCCGTGTAGTGGCGGTTGAGAATATCCACTACCCCATACCTTCCCTTGGGTGTCGTAAAAGACGACAAAGGGAAACGGGCAGGAGATGGGCAGCAGCATCTTCCTGATAATAGAAAATTATAATAATAAAAAAAAAACTGCGGTTGCCAACCCGCTTGCCAAGCGTGGCAACTATGGCAAATACCCCCCATGACAAAAGTTACTGGTAATTCATTTATTTGTTAATCAATAATATAATACGATTATCATTAATAACGAAAAGAAAAACTACGAAAGGAACTTCGTTCCGACCGTATTCCATGCCACTAACGCGTTTTTTGTTTAAAAAAATGCTCAAATATTTTTACAGTGTGGATAAAAAAATGTTTGCTAACTATGGACCCTTTTGCACTAAGCTTATTAACTAGGTAGTTGATTTAGTTAACAAGTTGTTCTATTAAAACGAAATAAAGTCTGTGCGGGTAAAGTAAGTAAATCATTTCTACTTCTAGAAATGATTTACTTAAATCTTATACATAAATAAAGAGGGTACCTATATTTGATTCCAAAAACAGGAACAGTTACCTGTATGTTGGACGATTTGTTTAGTTTATTTAACGCCCGCTACTACTTAAATTTAAAGATTTTAATTTTGAAAACTCAATGTATAAAGTCATTACAGTGGCTTTTTCTTGTTTGTTAAACAAAAATTTGGCGTTTACAATAACTTAAGATTTGTAGTGATTTATTGACACCACATAAGGTTGTAATGTACTGTTAATCACGTGTCTTCACACAACACCACTACCACTCCTAACGGAGCATGTCTTTTTTCAGACAAAGTAAAGCAACTAAATAACAAACATTTTGTGATTAGTTTAAATGACCAATAATTTATAATTTTAGAATACTTGTGGTATTAATGTCGCAGCAAACTAGGTTAATTAGCCTTTTAGTTAACAGCCTAGCCTTTTTACTAAACGGCGCCATTCAACTAAACCGTCCCGTTCAATCAAATTAATAAGGTGACCATGCCACGTAATGTCGCTAGTCTGTGTCTAATTATGTGCTATTTTATATAAATGTACGCGGCTATAGGGTGGCCCAAAGGCCACTTTAGCCGCACTGTCGCTGATATTACAAAATAGGTGCAATGATGTATTAGACGCATCGGCTTAATATCATTCAGGCCGCTAGTTGAACGGCGTTACTAGATATGTCGTAAAAATGAAAGATCACCATACAGTATAATTAGGCATTTATTGAGTTACATGATTATACTAATGGCACTTGGTGATTAACTTCTCAGTCTCCAATTACTGGTTCTGTAATAAAAAAAAAATACAATTGATTCATATAAATGGAATAAACTGTTATTCAAAGTAAAGTACAACCGGCAAGCGTAGTGTTTAGCGAACTCCCACAAGATGGGAGTGACGACCGGATGAAACACGCAGTCGATGGATGAAGGTGGCTCAGCGCAGTACTTTGTAGCAGTTTATAGAGAAGGCCTATGTTTAGCACTGGACTTAAGATGCGCTGTAGTAATGGGAAAATAAAGTAACAACCTTGTTTAAATCTCACAGCTGAGCATAGGCCGCCTCTCATTTTCGAGACGGCCTTCAATTGATTTCTGCCCTCAGAATATTACATTTAAGAAATGCAGATTTCCTCACGATGTTTTCCTAAGCCGCCGAGCTGTCGCGATTAACAATTTCATTGGCGCTTGTAGTGTTATGCTACTTACATATCATTTTACACTATTTTAAATTCATTTTTCCATTCTGTTTTGATTTTCTGCATTCACCTCAAAACTGGATATTTTGCATCACCTTTATTTCCATAGGATCCTGTAACGATTTTAAACCATAAGAACACAATAACAAATCATTTTCACTTCGTATTTTCACGCTATCAGCATTTTTTAAATCGGTGTCGATGGAGTCTACCTTTTTTTTTTCTTTTTTTTTGGTTTTAGGCTCGTAATAGAGAAACGGCAAGATTTAAGTGAAAAATGAGATATTATTGCTATAGGAGAAAAGGTAACCAGCGCGCACAAATCCCGAAATTGCAGAGTTACGGAGAACTAAATAAAAGATCGAAAAAGGTAGACTCCATCGATACCGTTTTAAAAAGTGCTGATAGCGTGAAAATACGAAGTGAAAATTATTTGTTATTGTATTCTTATGGTTTAAAAACGTTACAGGATCCTATGGAAATAAAGGTGATGCAAAATATCCAGTTTTGAGGTGAATGCAGAAAATCAAAACAGAATGGAAAAATGAATTTAAAATAGTGTAAAATGATATGTAAGTAGCATAACACTACACGCTGGCAGGGATAAGCCCAGGTTGTTCGCATACTGTGAAATATACAGCGAGCCTTTCTGAACTACCACTGCTGAGTATCCGATGATTGCTATAATATGTTAATTTGAAATACATTTCTTGTTGATTGCTCGATGGACTACATCTTTTTAAGTTTAAATAGTCAAGTCCGATTTTGACGAACTAAAGTAAGTTTATGTGGATATTGCGATGAAAATATTTGAACTTAGTGTTCAACACACACCACGCAAATTTTTATGTAATATGTTGTTCAATGTCAGGTTTGTTTCCTACATTAAATAATTGCCTCTGGAAACTAACCTTGCAAGGCGTTCCGTTGCGCACGTATCTGAACAAAGATTCGGCCATGTTTGCGGGCGTGGGCGTCGAGCATTCTTCCAGTGCTTTCACAATACACGTTGTGAGTTCGTCGTATTTGCCGCACTGGTCCTATAAATACCAAAAGAATTAGTGAAGAAGATTATACCTAATCGTTGATTTGTGGCAGTGGTGTTGCAGATATTGGCATTCGAATCCTCTAAACTATGATTATAATATGATCTATCATTATAAAGCTCATATAACTTTCGCCTACTTTTATAAATTCCTACTGTCGCCCATTACAACAATAAGGTGCTCGAGCTCGACACAAGCCATTTCTACAGCTCGGTCCACAGAGAGGCTCACAATATCCTTATGTTATTTATATAATAATGATTTATCTGCTATGGTGGCTACCACTTAAACTTTTTTCTCTATTGAAGGAACTGACCTACTTCTTATCTCTCCTCCCATAATCTAGAAGGCTATATAAACATGCACTAAAGTCTCCTCAAAACGATGAACTGTTCTAATTTAAATTTTAAATGATACTTGTTTTTGAAGACTACTTTAACCTTAAGACAAAATTTAAGCCTACTCAACTAGGCTTTGGCACTAGAGGGGGCTTTGAGGCGGCGGTACATTCAGTACGAACATTTTTAACAAACTCTGATGTAGATGTTGTTGTGAAGATTGACCTAAGGAATGCTGTTAACTCTATCGATAGGGTAACCCTGCTGAAAGAAGTGGCTAACAATAACTCCGAAATTTATCATTACGTTTGACAATGTTACAGTCAAAATACTAAATTGTTTTACGAAAACTATATTAACGATTCTGCTGTCGGTGTTCAGCAGGGTGACCCACTAGGTCCAGCACTTTTCAGTTTGGCAATTCAACCCATTATTTAAAATTTGAAATCCAAACTGAATGTCTGGTACCAGGACGACGGTACACTGGGAGGTAGAGCAGATGACGTCCTCAGTGATCTTTATCTTTTTTTTTCGAAATTTTTAAAATATTTATCTTGAACCAAATACCAATAAATGTGAAATTATTTTCCAATAATTTATCTAGTTCTAACAGGAACACCTTAATTCAAAATTTCAATCATATTTCTCCAGGAATAAAAACTGTCAGTATGTCAGCTATACCTGCTAGGTGCCCCATTGTTTTTCGATAGTATTAAACCTGATGATCCGTTTTTAAACCACGTTAATAAATTGTATTAATTAGACCCCTATATTGCTCTTACTATTTTAAAAATTTAGTCTACTTGTATACTTACTCTGCTCGAGTCCAGTCTGGAAATGTTCGGATATTTTGAAAGATATTGATAATAATCTTAATAGCTATAGAAACAATTCTAAATTTTACTTTAAACACAACAGCCTGGACCCAAGCTACTTTAACTTTAAAATTTGGTGATATTGGTGTGAGAAATCTTTCTAGCGTTGCATTGCCTGCTTTCCTTGCTTCCGTGCATAGCGTCAGTGACTTATATAACATAATTTTAAATAATAAAATAGACCCGTGTTTTGCTGCGGAGGCAAGACAGACATAGTGAACGCTCTGTCCCGGCGAAAATGTTCCATTGGAAGTTAACCAACAAAAACAGTGGGGTATTCCGCTGGTACAGAGCGTGCAGAAGGATTTGTTTCATAATTTCCATACATAATTTCCTTCTAGCTGTTTCGTCTAAGGAATCTAGTCACTGGTCACACGCTTTACCATCAAGTAATCTCGGCACTTTACTTGATGGGGAAAGCTTGCGCATCGCCGTAGGAATCCGACTAGGACAAAGACGTATTTAAAAAAAACATCTTAGGACTAGGAGCGGCGATTTGTCAACCCCACCAGCGCCCATCTGGTAGCAGTATCAACAAGTTTGGGCTCCACGGACTTTCATGTAAGAAAAAGTGCTGGTACGTTTTTACGGCAGGGTTCTTTGAACGATGTCATCCGAAGGGCTCTTGTCCCATTTATTCCCTCGGTTTTAGAGCCTTGTGGAATATTTAGAGACAGGAGATCCGACGGTATGACATTGGTCCCTTGGGAGAAAGGTAAAGCCATAGTATGTGATGCTACTTGCGTAGACAATTTGGCGGCCGCTCATCTCAAGTGTACCTCGTTTAGAGTCGGGGTGGCATCAGAGGCAGCTGAACTGAATAAGTGGCGCAAATATGAGTCTCTGAGAGATGACTACATATTTATGCCATGTGTTGTAGAGACTATCGCCCCGTGGGGTTCACGTGCGGCGAAGTTCTTAAAGGAACTCCATCCGCGACTGGTCGTTGCCATTCAGCGGGGAAACGCAGCCAGCGTTCTTGGCACGATACCGCGGGGAGTAGTACTGTATGATAATTAACTTACTAGTTTTAGTTTTTTTTTATAGTTTTTAATATTGTACATAATAAAATATTGTATATTATGTTATGTAAATAAATGTATATTTTTTAAAGTATATTACACGATATCTCGGAGACGTTAGAAGTTAACCGATTTTTCAAAAGTAGCTGCATTGTAAGTTAATACTAAAAATTATATTATGCAGTAAATTAAACTTACGCCCAGACTTAAGATTTGAGCTGCCTCAATGGACGACACACTGCTCTTCACTTTATCGACACACGCGCGTATCGGGCCCGATTTCTCTTGGAAGCACTCAGGACCGCCTTCAGCGATGAACACTAAAAAATATATATAAGTAACAAACTACCAATTCTTCATATGCCTCCGAAGCGACAGCTTATATCGACTTATGTGCTGTTTTCAGCCTGATGAATATGCTTTTTGCATATCAATATAAATTTATCTATCACCGTAGCAAATGTAAGCAGTTTTTTTAAGTTGGTACATGCAAACATGGTATTTCGAAATTTATTTATTTATTTATTCTTTATTGCATTCCTGAATCTAAAAGAATACAAAGGGCGGACTTAATGCCTTGTGGCATTCTCTACCAGTCAACCCATATGTTTTTAAATAAAATATTAAAAAAATATACTTTATTTATATTATGGTTTTAATCTTGAGAAAAGTTTAAATTTTGAGTTAAAGTTTTTAACATTCTAAAACTAAACCTATAAAATTTTATATATGAGTATCATTTTTATTAATATCATATAAGGGTTGCCAGATTAATTTTCGATCAAAGAGGGATATTTTTAATGGAAAGTAATAAAGCGGCATGCGATGAATTAACGGGAGACTTGATAAAAAATTATTAGTATGTATCTAGTATTATTAAGTTTTATAAACAACTAGCTGGCCAGGCAGACGTTATTCTGTCCTTTTCGACGAACCTTCATATAAAAAATCCTTAAATTCGTAATAAAAAAATATTGAGTGTCACTTATCAGGATAAAAACTATCCTATCTCTCAAGTTGCACCAAACTGCACAAAGTGCGCAAAATTTCATTGAATTCAGTTCAGTAGTTTAGGAGTTCATCGAGGACAAACAACATGACACGTAATTTTTCATTACTTTCCGCACGCGTGTTGCATCCGAGCATTTCAAGTCGATGAAAGAAATTTATAATAAAAATAAAATAGTGTGATTATCTAATATGGGACGCAACGCTGGTAAGTATGTATTAAGTATTTATTATCATTATAATCATTAAAAAAACTTACATGCAATTCGGTCGCCATCTTTGAAGCATACGAAGTCAATGAGTTGGTCTGTGGCGTTGTTAGCAGACGCAATGTGCTCTCGTGCGGTTTGGTCCATGCAGGGAGCCACGCCGGCCGTCAATGAGTGGATGCAGGATTTGAGTTGAGGTGACTTCGCGCAGTACCTGATGTTAAAACAATTTAGAAAATAACTAATAGAACAAATTTGAGATATAACTGTGCATCACATTAGCATGTAGGTGACAAATGCAAAAAAACAAATTGCCCTTCAGCATAAGAAAACCAACAGACTGCATTTTGTAGTCAATTTAAACGATATTCAAAAAGAGACCCTTGTGAAACAAAAAAAAATCGACGAAGATGTCGATGCTTCCAATTTAGGAGCCAATGATAATGTCACATTCATAATATTATTCATCGTGTAGAATATCCACTACCCCATATCGACCCGTGGGAGAGGTGACAAAGGAAAAACAATCAAAAGATGAGCAGCGGTGTCTACCTAATAATAAATTTAAAAAACCTGCGGTTGCTAACCCACTTGCCTAGCGCGATAACTATGGTCAATATCCCCCATAAGGCAATCATGGGGTACGCCTATGTTCAGCAGTGGACTTTTGATAGATTAACCGGGGCACACGCCAAACGGAAGGTAAGTTTTAAAATAGTTTAAGTATCTCCTATTTGTAGCAAACATTTTTATACATATATCCAAAAGTCGTTGAACAGAACACAAAATAAGGGTTAGGTCATTAAGGAAAAACGGTTGCCTTTCGAAAGAGCTCAATAATTTAGCTACGTTAATCAGGTACGTAGATATGATGAATCAGGTACGGGTTTATTATTTAGATTTAAATGTAAATGAACCTAACCAAAAACGTAACGCACATTACGTGGTAACATTCGTGTACTATCTCAGAGTAATTTGCATACATCATCATCATCATCATTCATTACAACCCTTCACGAGTCCACTGCTGAACAAAGGCCTGCACTCAAAGCACAGTCCTGAGCCACATGCATCGACTTCCTGCATGTCTTACCAGGTCGTCACTCCACTTCAGCTTACGAATCCGTCCTATGTCGGTCACTCTGGTTCTACTGCGGATATCCTCATTTGTAAGTTTATCACGCAGAGAAACTAGCCCTCTCCATAGCTCGCTGACCGACCTTGAGGTTCCTCATACGGCCAGCAGTGAGGATCACGTCTCAATTCCATGGGTCATCAATTGGAAACACGCACTGGTTGTACAGTCTTGTTTTCAAGTTTTGAGATATTCCTGACGAGAAACTGAACGTTGAACGCTGCCCGGCCGAGTTGAATCCGTCGATTGACCTCTCGGTCGAAGTTGGACTTAATCGGACTATTTGACCCAGGTAAACATACTCGTCAATAACTTCGAAATTTTAGTGCTCCCAACAACTACCGGCATAGGTGGGACATGGACGTTATACATGAACTTGTTTTGTTCATGTTCATCTTAAGACCTATGCGATGGGAGGCACTATTGAGGTCATTGAGCACAGTGCTTAGGTCCTCCACCGATTCTGCCATAAAGACTATATCGTCGGCAAATCGAAGGTGAGTGATGTACTCGCCATTGATGTTAATACCGTATATGCTTTCTAGTCTAGTAGCTTCTTCCAATGCAGCGGTGAAGAGTTTCGTGAATATAACGTCACCATGTCTTACACCTCTCTGCCGATGAATAGATTTCGTACTCCGGTTCTGTACTCGGATAGTTATCGTGGCCCTACTGTACAAATACTTCAGCACTTCTTAACTTCAAATATAATATAGGTATCTTGTTTCCTAAAACAAACAAAACTTACTTCTTGAACACTTCATCTAAGGCGCCGTTAGGTTTCGCTTCTTCAATTTCGCGCTTCAGAGCATTGACATCAAATAAGCCCATGACACACTGAGCGAAAGTCTTCATAACTTCCTAAAATGTTAAATGTTTTATGACGTTTAGTTATATATTAATACACACAAACATACACACACACAATAAGCTTACAATTATAAAAATAAAACAAATAGAAGAAGGCGTAATAAAATAAATTAGAGAACAGTACACAATAAACAGAATATCTACCATTAGCAGGCTATACAGCGGGCTCATTATAGCAGCCCTGCTGAACCAACTCTGAGCCAGCTCTGATATTTTTCTCACATAGCATAGGATGGATACTAGATTATAGATTCATACTGGCCGGCTCAAAAGTATTGTCTGTTTAGAAATTAAAGTACCTATATAATGGGTTTCATTTACAGAAATTGGTGCTTATAATGCATCACTGTAAGTAGTGGTTATCAGGTGGGAGAGTGGTCAAGCAATGGCTTATATACGTATAAAATAGAAAAAAAAAAGAAATTAAATCCTATGTTGAAGTGAAAACTTCTATAGAATCGTTATGGTTTGGAACTCGATAAAACGAAAAAGCAACACTAAAAAGAGACAAACATACATCTATAGGATTTAGCCTGTGAGAGAATGAGATGGAATATATTAACTTGAACACTATGTTTCGATTATAATGCATGTGATCTGCGACCAGCAAGGGACTTGTGTTGATTAGAAAATATTTAAGTACCTACTTACGATAACGAAATTGAACACTTGGAGTCTGTATAATATTTAATGTAATATCTAGAATAAAATGTTAAATAATTTTTAAGCTTGGTAACAATATTACAAAAAATAAACCCTACAATTATCTACTCCTAATACTCTGCATTCGTTTCTTTCTCTCAAAGTTTAAGTTTTCTGAAGATTTTATTTCTACCGCGTGTGAACTGCACACATGTTTTTTTTTAATCAAATAATCTTTCCAAGCTTAACACGGCTACACATGTTGTGTTTTATGTACAAATATTATTTGTTACTGTCATAGTAAGGTCATGGTCGTCATGCAATGTTCCATAATTGCAGAAAGTAGAGACCTTGACACATCGCTTGTTGGTACGGGCCTGTCACTCGAGGACTCTTCCTATCGATTAATTGTCGGTTCTTCGAGCTATATGGGCAGGCCATTGCTACTTCATGTTACTGATCCGTTGGGCTAAGCAAATTAGTCAAACATACTTGTTACGTTTAATTTAACTTTTTAATTTGCCGACGTTTCGGTTTACGGGGGCGATAAAATCCTTAAAATTAGTTTAATTTAATGTGGAGTGTTCGCGTAAATATAAGAGATCGTTATAATCTTTACCGATTTTATCATGCAGGGAAACCTTTAGAATAGTTCTATCAGTTACTAAGTTTGTATCTATGACATTGTATGGCCAGTAACGAAGGACCAGTTTATATTCAGTTAAAACTCTAATTACATACAAGCTATTCCTCGCGATTTCGCCCGCGTTCAATTTAGAGTTTTAATTTTTTTTCCGCGGAACCCTAGTTCTTTTTCTAAAAGAAAAGTAGCCTTAGTTATTCCTTGTAACATCAGCTATCTGCCATTGAAATTCGCGTCAAAATCGGTCCAGCCATTTCGGAGATTGGCCGGAACAAACACACCGACAGACAAAAATTTTTAAAATTGTGTTTTTGTTGTAAGTACCGTATACTATTTTATATGTATTTAGTAAAAAGCTGTTATTTTGATATTACAAACACACTTCAATTTTATTTATTTGTATCTACTTTGGCTGGCAACATAACATATTTAAAAAAAAAAACATGAAATAGAAAAAATATAAAACGTAAAATAGAAACTCAGAAATGTGCCCTTTTGACATTAATAAAATTAATAAATGACATAGAAATCGTCACCTGAACTTCTTCAACTTTGTCTTCGGCGCCGTTCTTTTTGCATTGCGCCTTCAGCATGTCCCTGTACTGTTGCCGCTGTATTTCGCTCAGTTGGTATTCGCCGAGCACACCTGAAAAAAAATAATGTAATATTGAAGTTTGCACTTAATACTCTCTATATACATTTATACATATTTGTCTATAAATTTTGTCATTTATGATTTAAAAAAAATATCCTTAGTATATTAGTATAATACTAAAACGTAGGGATTATGTATTCTTTGAATATGGGAGATAGAATAAAGAACAGATGATCAATTGATCGCTCGCATACTGTCTGACCAAACTTGTTCGGGTTCGGGTCTGATTGAAAAATATCGCAACTTACGCTGAGTCCCTTCCACCACCTGTGCCACCACTTCCACATTTTTTTTTATATTAATGTGTGTTCACACATATGCACTTCTTTTTTTTCTGTTTCTTTTTTAATAAGACATTTTTTAAAATTATAATTTGTCATGTGTAAGATGTAAGTGTTGGAATAAATGTATTTATGTCTAAGTTACTATATCCGCGTATCTATGCAATAATACTTAGAGCGATAGTTAATTCTACTTTGGATATTGCTACATAGTCTTGGCGTATTTTTAAATGTAATTTAAAGTAACAGCCTGTATACTCGTTGCTTTTCCTGTCATATTTTATATTTATTTTTTATTGGAACGATGTTCCTTATCGGACGGTACGAACGAAAAAGTGTAAGATTTTTCCGTCACGATCCCCTCTGATGTAGTGTAGACGGCCTTGGCGGCTATATGGAAGCGAGATGAAATAATATCCATCTCCCTCGCACTTTTTCTTATCTTGCCATGAAATAAATGTTATTTTATTTTAAATGGCGCTTCATTTTAGTAGACGCTAGTAATTCATTTATTTGTATTTGTAATCAATAATACGAGTATAATACGTTTATCAATAATAATATACTACGAAAGGAACTTCATTCCAACAGAGTGTTCCACGACTCTCACGTATTTAGAGGTCACAAATGAATCTATAAAATTAAATCTAGCTAAACGGTTACACAAAATATTAACAAAAACTATTATAAAGAAAAGCTAAAACTCAAAATTTTAATTATCATGCAGTGGTATCGTGCCAAGAACGGTGGCATTTCCTCGCTGAATCGCTTTACCTAGCCTTTGAGCGAAAAAATAATCAGCCTTCTTATCACCAGCAGCGACTACCAGTCGCGAATACAGTTCCTTTAGCAACTTCACCGCACGTGGACCTATAGTCTCTTACAGCAAATGGCACAAACATGTAGTCGTCTCTCAGAGACTCATATTTGCGCCACTTACTCAGTTCAGCTACCTATGATTTCGCCCCGGCTCTAAACGAGGTACACTTGAAATGAGAGGCCACCAAAGTGTCTACGCAAGTAGCATCTCTCACTAGGGCTTTACCTCTCTGCCAAGGGACCAAAGTCATATCGTCGGGTCTCTTACCATCTCTAAATATTCCACAAGGCTGTAAAACTGAGAGAATATTTATAGAGACAAGAGCTCTTCGGATGACATCGTTTAAAGAACGTGACGTTATATCCACTACCCCATATATATCGTGAGAGGCGTCAGGGATAGATGAAGTGGCGTAGCAAGGCGGAGGCTGGGAGTGCTACGGCCTCTGGCGGCAGATTTTAGGGGGGGGGGGGAGATTGGGGAAAAATAGAAAGACTAGAGATAGGTATACAAATACATTATAGAATGAAGAGCGGGAGAGGGTTAAGATTGAGTAGCAGCGTCTTCCTAAAATCGAATAAGAATAGAAAAATCACGGTTGTCAACCCGTCTGGTAAAGGTGGTATCCCCCCCCCCCCCCCATCAGGCATCAGCAGCTGTGAAGTTTTGATAGGCTGTCATGGATGGATGTTTTTATAGTTTTTATAATTTATTTATAAATCCGGCACATAATCAACTTTATTTACTGTAAACATCTAAGGTCTGAGCCTTAGACAAAGGGAGTGTTGAGGAGGCTATGAATAGTTGCGATATAATTATCGATTGAAGACTCTGCCTAGTGATTTTAATTAAGTATTAATTTGAATTTCGCTCAGGTTTTTGTTTCCCGGGTTTGCGTCTAGGCTAGTTTTTTTCATCCAACAGAAGGTACGTAATTAATTGCCTCATCAGATCAATTAGGCGTTGAAAGTTCATAAATGTTTGTGATGACCCTATTCGGATTATTTGTTGCACTTAAATTTCGAATTATTTCATCTATTTCTGCTGTTGGTGATACCAAGCCCTTCCCCTTAAACGTCGTTGTTGACAAAGTGTCTGCATTAAGTATATTTTATTCAACGTTACACGTAAAGTCATCTCTAAAAATGACGACTATCCCATCTGCTGAAGAACAAATAGAACACGAACCAAAGGCTTAATTGGTGGAAAGACGAGTTAATATATTCGTTTAATAATTAACACAGGTCGTTCTCGATAAAGAAGCGTATCATAATTATTTGCTTTCAGAGTGAAAAGGGTTGATTTTTTTTATAGAATTATGGTGACAAACGAGTACACAATCCACCTCATGGTAAGTGGTTGCTGTGGCCCATAGACATCTACATCTATCTTCGTTTGCGAATTAAAATGCAGATGCGTTATCAGCCGTGAAAACTAAGATAGAATGCCTCTTTTCCAGTAAAATAGGTCTCCGGTTCTTTACACTCACCATACGAAACACGGCAGCATTAAGCTGCTATTTTACGCTGGTATTCTGTGAGAGCGTGGTCCTTCCCCGGTCGAGCCGACCCATTCGTGCTACAACTATACTAATAATATATCTGCAGCATGGCTCTACCACGTTAATTATATAACGATAATTATATAATAGAGTTATCTTGTTTTATCTTCAATAATAACATATAAAAGTTGTCTGTAACTCCTAAGATAATGTTATAACATACCTAAAACTAATAAACGATATGCATTACGCAATAGAAAAATTAATAATTATTTATTTTCAACGACCATTTTATCTGAACCCTGTAACCTCCACCACCCGTATCTTATTCAAATAAACTTATACAAGTGATCGTTGGGCGTAAATATTTTCTGCTGCGATTTACTGAATTACTAAAAGTAAATATATTTTTTGATAAATAATGGTAACGAAATGTATCACATGTGGTAGGTATGTACGTGTCATCAACATTGGATAATTTAAATCGATACGATACTACGATACGATTCAATAATAATTTACTGTCGATATTTTAATTTTAAGTGTACAAATAATTACACATCCCTCTTGATTATTCTTTGTGAACAATAGTTCTTTGCGTGGATTCCCTCGATGAAATCGCTTTTAGACCACCTTTAAGTTCGCACATCTTACCTTCTTTATATAATATATCACTTTATGTTTCAATATCTATTGATGTACAATAAAAAATATACTGATAGATTTATTTTAAAAAAAATGTGTAACTTAATTGGCAAATTGTAGTTGTGTATCGCTAGCAACGCAAAGTCGGGAATTCGCATTTGGAAAAATCCAAAATTAGGGGCTTTTTAGGTGCTAATTAGGTGCCAAGTTAAAAAATTAGGTGCTCCAAAAATTTTCACCGCAACGAACTGTTGAAATTTGCGTTGCTAGCGAGACGTTTTGCTAGCAACGCAATGAATTTATCAGATATACGATAAATATTAATAGCAAAGAATTAAGTGCTAATTAGGTGCTGCAAAAATACGCAATAACAAGGCGTCCCTAATAAAAATAAAGTCGTTATTCAGAACATAGCAGATGCAAAATTTAGATTTCCTGAAAATCAAAATAGAACCAAAATTGCTTTCAGAAAAAGTCCAAATAAGGGGCTTTTTACGTGCTAATTAAGTACTAAGTTTAAAAATTAGTTGCTCCAATATTTTCACCGCAACGAACCATTGAAATTTGCGTTGCTGGCAAAACGTATCGCTAACAACGCTGATGACGTTACTAGATATACGATAAATATTAATAGCAAGGAATTATGTGCTAATTAAGTGCTGCAGATCGATCATCGAAACCCGATACAGATTACGATATTATTCTGGGAATTATGGGGTCCACGACCACCATTACCTTACTATAATGTATGAACAGTATTTTTTGTTCTTTATCAGTTCCTAAAAATTAAGTGCTAATTAGGTGCTAAAAGATTATTGAGGTCGCATGTAGATGACGGTAATATTCTGGAAATTATCGGATTTAAAACCACCATTACCTTACTATAAGGTATGAACGGGATTTTTTTGTTTTTCAGATTTAATATGATTATATTTGAAAATGGTTGAAAATTTGTTGAAAATTATATTAAATTATATTATAGATTTATAATATTATTTAATATAATTTTCAACCAAATAAATGTTACAATTCTTATTTTTAGACATGTGAAGCCTAAACTTTAGTGTACTCGAAACGATATTTTCTTTCCAGTAAATTGCTTTGTAATAAATAGCGCCATCTACAACGTTCTATAGTTCTAGTCATTTTATCAAATCAAAATCGATGGACTCTCAAGGTGGTAAGTAGGATAGACGCTAGATGGCACAAATACAAAGACCTAATTTTTTAAGTGGTAGAGCCATGCTGCAGCTATATTATGGTTGTAGCACGAATGGGTCGGCTCGACCGGGGAAGAACCACGCACTCACAGAATACCAGCGTAAAATAGCAACTTAACGCTGCTGTGTTTCTTATGGTGAGTGTAGAGAACCGGAGACCCTTTTTACTGGAAACGAGGCATTCCATCTTAGTCCTTACGGGTGACAACGCATCTGCATTTTGATTTTTAACCGAAGATAGATGTAGATGTCTATGGGCCACAGCAACCACTTACCATCAGGTGGACTGTGTGCTCGTTTGTCACCCTTATCCTATAAAAAAAATTTGCCTTGCTGAATAATTTTCGGAATAACGACTTTATTTTTATTAGGGGCGCCTTGTTATTGCGTATACTTACAGCACCTAATTAGCACCTAATTCCTTGCTATTAATATTTATCGTATATTTAATAACTTCATTGCGTTGCTAGCGAGACGTTTTGCTAGCAACGCAAATTTCAGTGGTCCGTTGCGGTGAAAATATTGGAGCAACTAATTTTTAAACTTGGTACTTAATTAGCACCTAAAAAGCCCCTTATTTGGACTTTTTCTGAAAGCAATTTTGATTCTATTTTGATTTTAGGAAATCTGAATTTTGCATCTGCTATGTTCTGAATAACGACTTTATTTTTATTAGGGGCGCCTTGTTATTGCGTATATTTGCAGCACCTAATTAGCACTTAATTCTTTGCTATTAATATTTATCGTATATCTAATAAATTCATTGCGTTGCTAGCGAGACGTTTTGCTAGCAAAGCAAATTTCAACAGTTCGTTGCGGTGAAAATTTTAGAGCATCTAATTTTTAAACTTGGCACCTAATTAGCACCTAAAAAGCCCCTAATTTGGGATTTTTCCAAATGCAAATTCCCGACTTTGCGTTGCTAGCGATACACAACTGCAAATTGTGTTCTCGTATCTCGCCTAACCGTGTAGTGGCGGTGTAAGAATATCCACTACCCTATATAGTCCCGAGGGTGTCGTAAAGTCATAAGAGGCGACAGAGGGAAACTGAAACAGGACATTAGCAGCAGCATCTTTCTGATAACTAGCCAAAATTACAACAACTTGCGGTTCCAACACGCCTGCCAAGCGTGGCAACTATGGCAAAATACCCCTATGAGACAATCGATTGGGAAGGTCTATATTCAGCTGTGAACTTTATTAGGCTGTAATAGTTTTTGTCTACTTAAAGGTAAATTGTTAGGTGGGGCATTAGCATTACCCACACGATAGTTTTAGATAAAAATAAATTATGGTAGCTTCGAAGCAATAAGATATTGAATTCTATTTACTACGTATTCGGTGGAAAAGTCAAATTAGACATTTATGTAAGTAACATATTGAAGACACGCGAATTTTCAGTAACTTCAAAATTGACGCTTGTGATATTTATTAGCCGTTACTTTAGGTACTCGTATAAGGAATAGAAACCATTTGTCAAGTTAAGATAATTTATATATTCGTTATTTTTTCATGTCAGATAAAAGATAATATTTATATTAATATATATACATCTACCCACAAACGACCAATATTTACGCGTTTGCAGCGGTCGCAATATCAAAGTAATTTACTGAATTATTTATCCAAAATAATATACAGTATAAATGAAATTACAATCATTCATTGAATTCATATAGGTACCTCTGTTTCAAACGGGTAACTAAGGCTCAGGTCTTGTTGATTGATTTAAAATTTGTAGACATTGATTTAACTTTTTTTATCAATGAATTATATGGCTACTCATACAAACGGAGAAATAATTTTCTGAGAAATCTTTGAACATGGTATACCCATATGAATATATATCTTCTATAGGGTCAAAATTGTGTCTCAGAAAGGTATTTTGCGTTTACATATCGGCTATCTCAAATTTTAACAGTAGGTATTTACTGTGGATAATGCTACGTCTTATGGAATCGAATAGTAAAAGTTTCATGATTAAACGATAACGATAACCTATGGGTTAAGTTACTAAATGGATATCTATGTGATTATTCGTTAGCGGTACCTGTAAGTTTTCTCATGATTTTAATGTGTCAATTTTCGGGTAAAAATACCACCTCAGAGAGCAGCATTAGGATTACTTCTATCAGAGATAAATAAATAAATTAATCGCAAATAAAACTCCTTTAATATTTTCTTCTTATTTTCGTTGATTGTATGTCGAGTAAGGTCCTCTAAATGAGCTTCAAATAACCGTTAAATCCGTATTGAGTTCGCTATTAAGCGGTCGTGTCGCGTTGACGACGTAAATTGGTAAATAGCTCGATCTGCAGCGCAGGAAGTGGGGCTCGCAGGAGTTTAGTGCCCAGACACATGCAACTGGTGAATATTGTACGTACGGTTCTTAGGTACGCGACTATGGTCTTTGAAACGGACCAATTGAGAACTAAATTCGTATGCGGAAGTTTGTTAGTGCAAAGTCCAAGTAGGAAGAAGGTGATGGCCTATTAATTTTTTATTTGCATTTTTGCATTATTTGTATTTACACAGTTATGTTGATAATAATATACTATAACATACTAGCTAATAATTTTGAGTATTATCACACAAATAGAAATAAAATGAAATAAAAAGCGATAGTCAATGTTTATTTTTATCACCAGTTTACTCGATAAAAACAAACATCTACGTTCTCTATATATCCTCGATTATGAAAAAACTCTTACTACCAGTGTTAATATTGTGTTTCGTATGATGAGATGAAGATGACGAAACGAAAGCCGGAGACCCTTTTTACTGGTAACGAAACATTCAATCTTAGTTCTCAGGGGTGACAACGCATCTACATTTTAATTTATAATAAATGATGACAAAAAAGAAAGAAAAAAATAATAAAAAGTATAGGAGAGATACCTATATGTCTATTGTTCTCAGCCCGCAGTATCAACTTACTACGTATATAAACAAGAGCTGATAAAACTGACCCCTACACTGATCATGTAGCTACCAATTATCGGTGTACGGTATCAGGTTTGAATGGATGCACCGCTATTATTCGATATCACTCGTTCGTTAATTAACACAGGATCATGTTAAGTTGGAGTTAGCATTTGAAGAAGAGAATGTAACGCATCAACCAATTGAAGTTGATTTCTCTTCTTGAGAAAACAACTTCTTTTATTGTTTTCACTGAACATGCGAGTGGGAATCCTAAAATTCATGTAAATTTATTGACTAACCTTGTTTCAAGTGGTGATAACCTAGACCTAGATAGTAAACACTCAAAAAAAAAATAGTGTTTTCTTTTAACCATCACATTAATATGTTTCTAATATAGGTCCTATATTAATTATATTATAACAAGTTTTAATTATTTTTGATTTATTTATCACCTTTTAAATATACTGGTACAGTGTAAATTGCATATGTTATTACTCTGAGGTGTTAATATACTCGTAGTTAACTAGGTCTCTATTAATAGAGTTTTCCCGGTTTAAAACGAATAATACTAACCTATTACGTCGCTATTACTTAAAGGTGAAATCAAGCAAGGATATACTAATATAGGCTGTACTCTACGTTTACTATATATCTGCGAGTATCTACAGAATCTTGGTATGATCTTCACCTAAAGTTTTATTTGATGGACCGCTATCAAGTCACATTCAGTGCAATATTTTATATTACGCAATTATGTTATGAACATGGGAGATCATAAATTGCGAAAAAAGTCAAAATATATTGTTAAGTACTTATTAATTTAAAAAGAAAATGTATACCTTAATAACCTCTCTAAAATTATTTAATTAAATATTTTGTGACCGAAAAGAATATGATCAAATTATTACTTAAACTGAAAATGACGATTCAATGTATAATTAGTGTCAAGAGACGCAAGTGTCTTTGAAATACACTTGTTGAAAAGCTTTCGATGATTCGGAGGTTGCGGCAGTGAACGGAAATTGGTCATGGGGAAATTTTCATTTGCGATATTCGTCCATATATAAAATGTCCTTCATCAGACCGAATTTCTCACGAAGAGTAGCCATCTGCGCAGGACAGGAACAAAGTACACGATTATGTGCGCAAGCACAGGTGCACTCTCTATTCTCTCACTCTCATATTCCGATGGGACGGCAATCCGACACGATCAGAAGCACGAGAGACCGGGTGCAGTGCGAACTTTACATGCTTTCCGAGGCGCGTGGGAGAAACACCGCCGATTTCCTAACTCTGATCTGTTATTGCGAAATTTTTTGACTTAAAAACTCAATAACTTACTTTGGCAAGACCTGGGATTCGAGTCCGAGATCACATGATTATAACAACAGCCCGCGCACATAAAAATACTTACAATTTAAATCGTTTTTAATTTCCTATATATTTTCACCGCGTAGCATCGGAGTTTGAGGGAGTTTTAACACCTTACCTCGGAATACCCGTTAAGCTATTGGTCATGTGTTTTATCTCTCCGGTCGTGTCAGATTGTCGTTTCATTGGACTATGAGTTGAATAGAGTGCAAGTGCAGGTGCTTGCGCACACTCTTGAACACTATAATTATGTCTTGCGCAGATCGCTAATTTCCGTAGAGACCGCCGTGACCGAAATTCGGTACGGAAGACATTATCGTTTCGTTAAAAACAATTGATAGGTAAATATGAGCGTCACACAGTAAATATATCAATATCACAGAAGCTCATTACATAGTTAATTTGTATTATTTTAAAATAATCGCTTTTAATGATTTTTCTACTTTCTATTATAATATCAATTTTAAAGGATCAAAAATACTCACCAACGGCCAAGAAAGCGACGAAAACAATTTTCCAAATCATTTTGTGCGAGTGTTTGTCGCTTTGAAGTCGTATGTCAACTGAAGCTTCGACTGTCCGCGGTCACACAATATATAAGAACGCGTGTAGTTGACTCATAAAAATGGACCTATTCTGACAGCTTTCGATAGAAATATCGAACGAAATTTAATTAATGAAAGATATGCAATTCTTTGAAATATTTTGTTCCACATAAAATAGGTTAACGCCTTATTATTTCTAATCATACTGTTCAATTTTTTTTAAGTAATTCTTACATATCGAATGTTTAGTACCTGAGCGATCAGGCCTTACCCGGCAGTGAACATGATACCAATGAAAAACACCACTTTAAAAACTAAATATTTCGCTAACGGATTCCTGAATATTAAAGATGTTGTTCCATACCCTCAGTGTTTTTGAAAGACCTATCCAATGATAGCCCATTTGGTAGAATATACGGGTAAAAGAAAATCATACTCCATTTACTTGTGTATGGGAACTATACCCAAAATAAAAATGGTTTTTGAGATTTTATGACGGACGGATATGGCGAAACTGTAAGGGTTCCTTGTTAACTTCGGAACCCAAAAGAATATGAAACATTAGAACCAGTACTAGGGGTTATGTATACACAATAAAACAATTAATCTTGACCAGTCTTGATTTCTTTGTGTAATTACTAATCCTCCTATTAGATAAATATTTCCTTGTGATTCTATATAAGTGACTAGTTTCGAAGTAAGCGATCTAAAAAAAATCGTTACGCCCAACTTAGGAATACTTTGTAAATCTCAATGTAGCAAATGACCATAAAAGCTGACAGCGTTTTAAAGTAGTTTGATACTCGTAGAACCTACATAATATGCAGATAATGCAGAACATGCATTGATCAAATGCAAAATACACACAACGTAAACAAAGGAAAACATTAAATTCTTACAGGGAAATCTCAAAAAGAAAAAAACATGCTTGAGTATCGTGGAACACTCAGTTGAAACGGAGTTGCTTTCATAGTATATCCTAATTTTTAAACGTATTATATTATTGATAAACAAATACAAATAAATGAATTACTAGCGTCTATTAAAATGAAGCGTCATTTAAAATAATATCTCTTTCATGGCAAGATAAGAAAAAGTGCGAGGGAAATGAATATTATTCCAACTCGCTTGCACTATAGAAAGGGGGTCGTGACGGAAAAATCTTACACTTTTTCTCGCCTAGTGCCTATCCACCAAATTCGTACCGTAAAATTATTTAAAAAATTACTGTATGAAATTTATTTATACGCTTGTAAGCATACAGAACGCAAAAATACATTAAAAACTACCAACCAAGACTATGATTTTTAATATATTTACAATTTTGAATATATTTTCAATTTTCATTATTATCATTATCTTTCTATCGAAAACATTTTTACGCGTAACTGCCTAATATATAAAATGCTAATATATAAAATAAGTTAAAAGATTAGCTATAATTCAGAATTATTAAAATTTAAGTCTGAGGAGACGTATTAATTTAATGAACCAGAAACTCAGAAAGAAAATGAATATTGGGATAAGTATAGTAGAAATAATGAAAACAATGAAAAGCATGAAGGCAGATAAGGCAGCTGATCACTAGAAATTCTGAGGGCTGGAGAGGGAGTAGCATAAATTAATGAAAGTATACAGAAGTATGCTGGGAACTTATGCGAGTACCGGGTGACAGATGAAAAGCCGTTATGGTCCTCCTATATAAGGGAAAAGGATCACTGCAAGACTTTAAAATCAACCATCGAATCAGCCTGGTTAGCATTGTCGGAAAACTGTATGCTAAGGTGTTGATCGATGGAGTTATGAAAGAAACTGACGGCAAAATTCTAAATGTGCAAGCTGGATTTAGAAAGGGGATTTGGTGTGTGTTGGTTACGGATCAGATCATTTCTATGCACATGATCACAGAGAAGTTTTCGCTCAAAAACCAGAAGCTTTTCTGCAAAAGATGCACGAAATGCGGTCATCAAGGAGTATGGTAGAGCTGATTCTAATGATAGGGCAAGAAAGAAATTGTGTCATAAGAGAAAAGTGTGTTCTGAGATGTTGTGACTGTATGATTTAGAAAGGAATGCTTCGGTGGTTTGGACACGCAGAATAATTATTATTGAAAGAATGACAAAGCAAATTTATGGTACGGAAGTGAATGGCAGAGTCGACAGGGGACATTTTATCATCCAAATTTGCGATATATTGAAGATGGGGCAAATTAGAATATCTTTAACCGATGTGCATGTACATGGGTAGGTAATGGATGTAGAACAAGACAGCGGTGTACCAGGATTGTGCCAAATAGAAGGTTGTAGTCCCTGCCTACCTATGTATATATGTATGTATGTATGTATTTATGTAAAATTCTCTAAAAAGAGCTTTTGAGTATTGACCCCATGTCTAAGAGCTAACTTCTTAAATGGCCAAGCCCCGTCGGACCCGAAATCAATAAGTATATATAGTATACAAATAATAATAACCACAATCATCATCATCATTACAACTCATTACAAGTCTACTATTTTAATTTAGGCCCCACCCAAGAGATCATTGCATTAACTTTTTCAATTACTATTGCAGCTAATCGACTTAGTGTTACAATATAGTTTTAGAATAACCTACCGGGCGTGGCGACAGCTTAACGATTGTACTGTACGTGCAGCTCGTTTGACCCCAAGCATTTACTTATTTGATAGCGCGGGTTATCTGCAACGCTCATGAAGTTTTTATAAATTAAAGCAATCAGACGGATTAATTTTCCGTATTTTAAACGCTAAAATTGGTATACACTTAACAGACAGAATAATCATTATAGCTCGTCAGCTCGTCACAGGTCCATTACTGAATATAGGCTTTTCCGCAGACCAACAAAGAAATAAAATCGAAAGACTGCATACATTTTAAGTTTTGCAAAAACTAAGCCAAAATCATCTTTAACTTATTGTAAGAGAACACGTACTCGCTGCGCCATGCGCACGCGATGGCTGGCAGGTTGGCAACCGCAGTTTTTTATGATTATTTTGGGGTGTTATCTATCAGGAAGATGCTACTGCCTATCTCCCATCTCAGTTTTCTCTCGCAGTACAGACGGCGTCATAACCTCTTAGCGCTATTCCAAACGGTCTTCAAGAAATTTCTATAATTTTTATATCTATATATATAAAAATTACGTGTCACGTTGTTTGCCCGCGATGAACTCCTAAACTACTAAACTGATTGCAATGAAATTTTTCACACTGTTTGCAGTTTGGTCCAACTTGAGAGATAGGATAGTTTTTATCCCTATAAGTGACCATCAATATTTTTAGTACGAATTTAAGAAATTTTGTAGGACACAGGGTCGTCGGACAGCGCAGAAAAACGTCTGCTTGGCCAACTAGTAATAAATATTGTCGGCGAGATTTTACCTTCTATGAACAGATGGCGCTAATTGTAACTTAACTCGCGCTATACAAATTGGTTTTTCTGTATCATAATATTGTTGTTTTTTAAAGTATAGTCAGTTCTTTATTACAGATTCATACCTTCAAATAGTGTTTAATTTAGTCGTTAATTCCTCGGAACAAAGTGGTCCTACGAGTCGGATAAGTGAGTGCGTAGTAGGAAGTTAGGAAGTGTTAACGAAAATAGGACAGTGCGGTATACAAGTGAAGTGTTGTGTAGTGACAAACTTACGGATTTCAGTGTTGTGGATTGAACTTCGATAACCGTGAGTAAAAGAATAGTAGCAGGGACTTGTAAAATCTTTCGCGAGTGTAAAAACATAGAACAATTTCGGAGTGAAATCGTATGAACATTGGACTTTGTTTTCATTTGACATTGGACATTGAAATTCGCGTATGAAAACAAAAACACTTAGAAAAAAAATTGATTCGTTTTGTATGAAAGTTGGACTTTCAAAAAATTCGCGAGTGAAATAAACACTTAGAAAAATTTCGACTCATTTTGTATGGACATTGACTTTAACGCTAAATAAAACATCTGTACTTTAAATAAATACCAGTGAAAGGAACTTCTAGTTGAACTTTGATCGAAAGTTATATCAAAATATTTTCATAACCTTAAAATGGAACAAATAAATAAATCGTTAAACCTACAAAATGAAAGACTAGACGAAATTAGAAAAGCACAAATAAACTACGGGAAATCTCCAAAGTCCAGGATTAATTTAGCATACTTGCAGACGCGTTTAGAAATATTGTACCAAGGTACCCATGAATACCTTGTACAAGATACACCTGTAGAATCAAGAAGTGCCTTAAACTATTTTAACGATGATTTATATGAGACCTGTGAGGAGATTTACATCAATTACAAAAGTGATTTAAAAACAAAAATATCCGAATTGTCACCCGTTACGCCTACTACCACCTTACCTGAAAACAAAAAAACAATGCCCGAGTTAAAGTTGCCGACAATTAACATACCACAATTCTCTGGAAAATACACCGAGTGGCCATCGTTTCATGATTTATTCAATTCCATCATACATACTAATCAATCAATGGATGACGTTCAGAAGCTCCACTATTTAAAATCAAGTTTGTCTGGTGAAGCGGAACAGCTGCTGCGTACAATAACAGTTACAAGTCAAAATTATAAGGAAGCGTGGGAAATACTGAAAAACAGATACAACAATAAAAGATATATTTCAAACAGCATTTTCAAAAAACTTTTTAATATCAAAAATATAACAACACAGTCAGCTTATCAGATTAAATACCTGCTTGATACAACTGTTGAATGTTTAAGCTCATTGAGGAACCTAGGGTTGCCAATTAAGTCTTGGGATGCGATCATGATTTATATGATAGTTTCTAAATTAGATACAGAAAGCCATCGTTTGTGGGAACAGCATATTGCTTCAGAAAAAGATGATTTTCCTTCTTTTGACACTTTAAAAGAATTTTTAGAAACTAGATTCCGGTCTTTAGAAATGATTGAACACACCACTAAAGCAACGAGAACCAAAGCCTTTCACACCTCATG